GTACAGCAGCAGGGAACTCTGCTCCATACTCTGTAATAAGCTAAATGGGAAAAGAATTTGAAAAGGAGTAGAAACATGTATATGTATAACTGAATCACTTTGCTATACACCTGAAACTAACACAACACTGGTAATCAACTGCACTCCAGTATAAAATCAACAGTTTCCTATAAAAGCAGAAAAAACACATACATTTCAAGAGCACATGGAACATTCTCCAGGATAGATCACATTATACCATAACACAAGTCTCAATAAATTTAAGACGAGTGAAATCAAGCACTTTCAACCACCCACAGAGGTATGAAACAAGAAATCAAATTACAAAAAGAAACCTGGATAAAACACAAATGCGTGGAGACTAAACAACACGTTACCAAAAAACCAATTCGTCAGTGAAGAAATCAAAGAGGAAATCAGAAACTATCTCGAAACAAATAAAAATAACATACAATTTTCCAGAATCTATAGGACGCAGTGAATGTAGTTCTAAGAGGGAAATTTAGTGATACAGGCCTACCTCAAGAAACAAGAAAAATCTCAAACAACCTAACTTACCATCTAAATGAATTAGAAGAAGAGGAACAAAAAAAGCCCAAAGTCAGCAGAAGGAAGGAAATAATAAGTATTAGAGCAGAAATAAATGAAATAGAGACTAAAATGAAAATAGACAAGATCAATGAAACTAAGAGCTTGTTCTTTGAAAATATAAACAAAATTGATTAACATTTAGCCGTACTCATCAAGCAAAAAAAAGAAAGGGCCCAAATAAATAAAATCGGAAATGAAAGAGAGGTTACAACCAACACCACAGAAATACAAAGAATCATAAGAGGTCAGGAGAAATAATCATATACCAACAAACTGAACAACCTCAAAGAAACAGATAAACTCCTAGAAACATACATTCTTCTAAGGCAATCAGGAAGAAATAGAAAATCTGAACAAATTGATTACTAGTATTGAAATTGACTCAATAATCCAAAAGCTCACAACAGGATACCAAGGGGGAAGGGGGGGTTGGGATGAATTGGGAGATTTGGATTGACATATATATACTATCAATACCAAGTATAAAATAGATAACTAATGAGAACCTACTATATGGCACAGGGAACTCTACTTCATGCTCTGCGGTGCCCTAAATGGGAAGGAAATCCACAAATGAGGGGATACGTGTATACATATGGCTGATTCACTCTGCTGTACAGAAGAAACTGACACAGCAGTGTAAAGCAAGTATACTCCAGAAAACAAAACAAAAAATCCCTTCACAACGAAGTCCAGGACCAGATGTCTTCAGAGATGAATTCTATAAAACATTTAAAGAAGAGTTAATACTTATCCTTTTCAAATTATTCCCAAAAGTTAAAGAGGAAGGAATGCTTCCAAACTCATTATCCTTATACTAAAACTATAGACAAAGACTGTACACCAAAAAAAGAAAAAAAAAAAGACAATTACTGGCCAACATCCCTGATGAGTATAGAAGCAAAAAACCTCAACAAAACATTAGCAAACCTAATTCAACAGTACATTAAAAAGACCGTATGCCATGATCAAGTGGGATTTATTCCAGGAATTCAAGGATGGTTCAATATCTGCCAATCAATCAAGGTGATGCACCACATTTACAAAATACAGGAGAAAATCATACAGTCATCTCAATAGATAAAGAAAAAGCACTTGGCAAAATTCAACATCCAGTTATGATTAAAAGCTCTCAACAAAGTGAGTATAGAGGGAATGTACCTCAACACAATAAAGGCCATATACAATAAACCCACAGTTAACATCACACTCAATGGTGAAATGCTGAAAGCTTTTCCTCTGAGATGAGGAACAAGACAAGGGCCCCTACTATCACGACTTTTACTCAACACAGTGTGAGAAGTCCTAGCCACAACAATCAGACAAGAAAAAGAAATACAAGTTATCCAAATTAGAAAAAAAAAGAAGTAAAACTGTCACTGTTTGCAGATGACATGATAGTATATATGAAAAAAACCTTAAAGACTCCACCAAAAAACTATTAAAACTGATAAGTGGATTCAGTAAAGTTGCAGGATACAATAATCAGTATACATAAATCTATTGTATTTCCATAAACTAATAACAAACTAAGAAAAATTAAGAAAACAATCACGTGTGGGATAAGCTAACCCTTATACACTGTTGTTGGGAATTTAAATTGGTGCAGCCACTATGGAAGACAGTATGGAGATTCCTCAAAATACTAGGAATAGAATTACAATATGATCCAGTAGCTACCCCACTTCTGGCTCTCTACCCAAAGAATACAAAAACACTAAATGGAAAAGAAATATGCACCTCTATGTTCACTGCAGCATTATTTACAATAGCCAATGTATGGAAACAATCTAACTGCCCATCAACAGATGAATGGATAAAGAAGATGTGGTGTATATATATATACAATGGAATATTACTCAGCCATAAAAAGAAGAAAATTCTGTCATTTGCAACAATGTGAATGTATCTTATTTCTAAGTGAAATAAGTCAGACAAAGAAAGACAAATAAGATATTATTTCACTTATATGTGGAATCTAAAAAAAATTTTAAAGAGAGAAAAAAGGAACAACAAACAAAACCAAACAGAAACAGACTCACACACGCAGAAAAAAAAACTGGTGGTCTCCAGAGGGGAGAAGTGTGGGAGGTTGGACAAAATAGGTGAAGAGAATTAAGAGGTACAAACTTCCAGTTATAAAATAAGCCATGGGGATGTAATATACAGCACAGGGAATATAGTCAATAATTTTGTAATAATTTTGTATGGCAACAGATGGTTGACTTATCCTGGTGATCAGTATGTAATGTTTATCAATGTCAAACCGCTATGTTGTACACCTAAAACTCCCATAATATTGTATGTCAACTATACTTCAATAAAAACATTAAACATCTTTACAACTGTTAATTAAAAATTAAATAAGATCTACAGAGGCAAGCAACCATTGTTGTTACCTTTCGAAATGAATCTGTGATTAGTGAAGATGAAATAATTCTCTCCTGTGCTAAAACTCATCATGCACCAGCTACTGCGGGGAGATGTAAATAAGAGACCCAGTTCCCATCCTCAAGCAACTTGCAGACTAATGGGAAGCATACATTCGACAAGTTTTTACAACAAAACAAGATGCACATCATGAACTGGAAGTACGGGGAGATACAAGAACATATAGAAGATCTGAAAGGAGACTAGGCATTAAGTGGACAAATGTGTGTTGGGGGGATGAAGGGAACGATTCAGGCAATGACAGGTGAAGTGCAGAGATGAAAGGGAACAGAAAAGACTCCAGTTTGCCTGGGGTACAGTAGTTCAAAGAAAAAAGTAAGACAGAACGAGATTATGCAGGGCTTCATCAGCCAAGCCATGGTAAGGAATTTGGATTTCATTTTAAAGACAGTGGGAAGTCACTGAAGTGTGGCTTTAAATATGGGAGTGACGTAATGAGTTCTGTTTCTGTAGAAGGATCATTCTGGCTACAGCGTGAAAATTGGAAGACGAAGAGTAGTAAGCTCAGCAAAATGTATTTAGGCCCTTAGACGGTGGAGGTGACAGTGGGGTAGAGAAGAGTGGACTGATTTGAGAGAGAGCCAGGAGACAAAATGAGTATGATCTGGATTCAGTAATGGAGCAAATATATACACTAAACTGTCCCAGCTGGGGAGACAAACTTAGCAATTTTTTTTTTAATGTTAAAGATCCTTACCTTTTTTTTTATAGGCCTAGAATCCTTTATCTTTAAGCCCCAAATCCAAAAAGCTCTGAAAATGGCAAGAATTTCTTTAGAATGGCAGCAATACCTGACTTGAATTAACATGAGGTTCTTCATCTTGCCTTATCCCATCCTGCATGAATATTCATATATTTTACTGTATAAATATTAATATCTGTAATTATGGGGTGCAACTGCAGAAGACGTTAGGTCTGTTAGGTAATAGATGGCATATGCACTATGTTGCCTTAACTAAATCTGACAGAAGCTGAATTCAGCAACACATTTGGCCCCCAGAGTTTCTGGTGAGGAATTCTAGATGGGAAATTTTCCACGTTCACTTTGCATTTTGAAAGGTGGCGGAGATCACGCTGATACATAGCAATGGTATGTATACAATACGTGTACACCAAACAGTCTACACATGTGTGTCTGTTTGGTAGGGTAGGTGGGATGTGGTTAATTACTGTCGACTGTATGATTCTAGAGATAAGAATGTGTGTGTGTTTTAACCGCTGACCTTTAGAAATGCATCAGATAAGACAGGAAGTGTTCGTTTTCAGGGAGGTTTCACACCACTGTAGAGAAACTGCTACAAGACTTAACCTCATGCATCTGTCCCCCTGGGGACTGATACTTGTTTCTAACAAGGTGTCTGCTGGAAGGAGCCAGGGGGTATCAAAAGGAATCAGTCCCAGGCCTCCACCTACAACCATCAACATTGATTCTTTTTTTTTTTTTTAACCACTGCCACCATATTCTGCTAGGGGATAGGGAAACAACAAATGAATGATATCCCAAACTATTCTCACAGAGCTTGCTCCAAAGATGTTGTGTAAATAGTAAACTAGAAATAAAGAGAATATTAGTCTACAACATCAAACACGAGGTGAGAAAACCAGGTTGCTGACTTTCTGAATAGAGTTTTAGAGGAGGCGGAAAAGCATGTCTAGGGAAGAAACTGCTCCAGTGGGTGATATTTGGAGAGACAGTTGGGCAAGCAGAAATCAAAGCATATCTTCCTGATTGTCCAGTAACTGAACTCCTCATTGATACCTCTTGGGAGACATCATTAATACCCTACTCATTAAGAAATTTGTGGGGTTATATTTATGTTCATTTTTTAAATGACACTGACATAGTTGACATAGATGCAGCCCTAGTTTCCTTTGAGTTGCAAAGACAGCAAAGTAGGGGGGTTCTTTAGTGTTAGGTCCTTTTGCAACATTAGGGAAACTGACCAGAAAGGTCTTACCTTCAACACAAGAAGGCTGAGCCCGAGTTGTGCCAGCAACCTGTCCTGGGAAGCAAGAACACTTGACCGTTTGTGATCGCTCCTCTATGCGGTTCTTGTTACAGCACCTGTGCACTGCGACCACCTCACAGGTCCCTTGCTTGATTTGGTGGTGACCTGGTGGATAACAGGGGAGCAAAAGAGACCCAGTGCTGTTAGGAAGAAATGAAAGTACCAAGGATGTGAATGATGCCATGACTACATTTCCCAATTCCATGTATACTACGTTTATGAATCCTTTTGGTTTGTTTTGATGTAAATTTAAACTTATATAAAGGTGGCAAGAATAGTGCAGAAAACTCCTATAAAACTGAGGTATACAGAAATTTGGCTTCCAGGACCTTTAGCCCCGGTATCACACCAATGGCTGTGTTATGTTACTTACATGGCAAAAGAGATTTTGCGGATGTAATTAAGATTACTAATTGGTTAAGTTTAAGAGCGGGAGATTATCCTGGATTATCCATGTAGAGCTAAGGTGATGAGCCCTTCAAAGCAGAGAGATGAAGCAGAAGGCGAATTCAGATTGAAACCACGAGGAGGACTCAAAACACCATTGCTGGCTTGAAAATGGAGGGGCCAAGAGTCAAGGAAATGGAGACTTCAGTCCTACAACCACAAGGCACTGAATTCTGCCAAAAACCTGGATGTGCTTGGAAGCAGATTCTTCGCCAGGGTCCCCATAAAGGAAGGCTCTCCTGCGGATACCTTGATTTTAACCCAGAGAAACCAGCCAAACTGTGCCAGACTTCTCACCTACAGAAACAAGCCGCTAAATTTATGGTAATCTGTCACAGCAACAATAGCAAACTGATATAAGACCTTTTACCTAGATTCCCTAATTGTTAACATGTGACCCCATTTGCTTTCTCATTCACTCTCTTTCATATATTTTTCTGAGCCATTTGAGAGTAAGTTGCAGACATGACACTCCTTCACCCCTAAATACTGTGTATTTCCCAAGAATAAAGACTTTCTCTGACATAATTAACGAATTCAGGACATTTAACATTAATACAATGCTATTATACAACTGACAATCTACAGTCAAATTTTTCCTCTTGTCCCAAAAACGTCCTTTAGAGCCATTTCCCCCACTGCTCAGGATCCAATGCAGAAGCCTACATTATATTTAGTTCACATTTCTTTAGCCTTCTTTAATCAGAAACTACTCCTCAGCCTTTATCTTTCTTGACCTTGACATTTTTAAAGAATACATGTCAGTTATTTTGTACAATGTTCCTCAGTTGGGATTTGTCTGATGTTTCCTCCTGATTAGAGTCAGGCAATGCACTTTTAGCAGATTACCCCAGAAGTGACACTATGTTCTTCTCAGTGCATCATATCAGGAGGCACATAATGTCATTTATCCAGCTTTTGGTGCTCTTACTTTTAATCACATGCTTAAGGTGGTGGCTGCCAGGTTTCTCCATTTCTAAAGGTACTATTTTGCCCTTTGTAATTAATAAGCATTTTAAGGGGAAATATATTAAAACTATGTAAACACCCCACTCTTCAAACTTTGACCCACTATTTTTAGCATCCATTGATGACTTCCACCAGAACCAATTATTAATATGATGGTTGCAAAACTGATTCTATACTAATATTCAAATTATCTCAGATCTAGACAGGAGGAGCCCCTTCATACTGGCAGCTGTGTCATTTTGACATATCCCCATTATGCTTTGAGATCTTAGCTAAATTTCTGGCTCAAAAGATGTGCCAGATTTTCCCTGCCCTCATCATTTTTCTCCAAGGAGCCGTGATTGTTTTTAGTGGGGCTTCAGATTTAGAAACCAGGACCTTGGCACAAAGGTTTATTCATTGCCACCAGGGAGTGACTTGGGGCTGAAAGGGCAGATAGACCTAGGAAGTGTGTGTGTGTGTGTGTGTGTGTGTGTGTGTGTGTGTGTGTGTGTACAGCGTGAGTCCACAGCGTAAGTCCACACTGGCATCTCCAATTCCATCCTAGCACCACAGGTTCTCACTGCTCTGTCCACAATTCTATATTTCTACCTCCCGTCGCCAACAACGATAAAACTGACTTCCATACTCCTGTAACAAACAGAAAATGGTTTACGTTTATATTGGAGTCCATTTTATCAGTTAGAAGTCTTTTAACAATGGAAAGTGATCTAAGCTCACTTAAGCCAAAGAGAATTTATTGGAAAATTATCAGGAGATTGTAAAACCAAGAGAGAACTTAGCTTAACACTAAGTGGACCCATTCTCATGGCTGGACCTGAGGGAATGATTCCACTCCATGAATGGAGTGGAATTCAAGGTCATGTCAGCTGTAGCAGCCACCGTCTAAGATGGTCCCTAATGCTCCCTGCCTCCTACTGTCCACATGTTTGTGCAGTCCCTTCCCACATGGTACCAGGGTTGGTCTTTATGACCAATAGCGTGCAGAGGAAATGATGATATGTCACTTCCAAAATTAGGTGGTCACCCTTTCTGTGCCTTTTGGATCACTCGCTCAAAGGAAACCATGGGAATAAGTGGCCCTATAAAGGGGCCCTTGTGGCAAGGAAGTGAAGTCTCTTGCCAACAACCCTGTAAGTGAGCTTCGAGGTATATTCCCTCCTACACCGCACCAGCACTGGTCTCTGTGCCAGTGCCAATAGCACACGTCACAAGTGATGGTTTATCACTTCCACAGTCAGGTTATAAAAGACAGTGATGCAGTCCCTTGCTTGCTCATCAGTCACTCTGGAGGAAATCATGCTGTGTGCTGCCACGAGTGAGTTTGGAAGTGGATCCTACAGCCCTAGTCGAGGCTTCAAAGACTACAATCCCAGCCAACAGCTCAACTGCAATCTAACAACCCTGAGTCTGGACCACCCAGCTAAGCCATTCCCAGATTCCTGCTGCTCAAAGACTGTAAAATAATATATAGTTGACCTGTGAACGATGCAGGAGTTAGAAGCGCTGACCCCACACACCCAGTCGAAAACCTGAGTATAACTTATGGTTGGCCCTCCTCTGTAGTTACGCATCCATGGATTCAGCCAACCACAGGTCGTGTGGTACTATAGTACATACTTACTGAAGAAAATCATAGTATGGTGGACCTGCACAGTTCAAACCTACATTGTTCAAGGGTTCAAAGGCCAACTGTTTGTTGATTGTTTCAAGCATCTAAAGTCAGGGCTCATTTGTTACACAGCAATGGATAACTAATGCACCAACTCTGGTTACACCAAGATGGAAAGACTTACCTTTGCTCTGATAAAAAAAAACAACGGAAACAAGATTGTAGAGGCAATGTTTAGAAATTATTAACGAAAGGCAAGCTTTTCAGGCACCCTTGAGCACCCTCATGATTTTCAGATATACCGTTTACATATATATTGTTCTGTGAATTACAAGAAATCTCATCTACTCGTTAAAACAGGTTTCCCCGAGGATTCCCACACGTTAATGCTTTGCTTGGTTTCTGTTGTTTGGTGTATGTGCTTCGAATAACAAAGCTCCTTTTTACAATTTTGTATTTCAGATTTTTAATCCATAAAGATAGACCTTCTACAAAGTAACCTCTATATCATGGTGATTTTTTTCTGGCCCTTCCCTGTCATACTATCTTAAATGGCGGAAGCAAAATCCAATTAATGGTGAGAACAAACACTAAGGCAAAGTTTCATTTGTAAAATACATAAAAGCGGAACCAGTACCCAGAGAGTCAAATCGCCAGCATGAGAGAAAGTTTTCAATCCACTACAGAGGAAAACATAAATATGAAAGGAGTAATTAAAACTATAAACCTAATTAAATGTTTGCAAGAAGAGTGTTGATTTCCCATAGGTAGTTGTGTACAATTGTAAAAAAGTAAATAAGTAAAAAATAAAGAGTAATTACAATGTCAGTAAAGTAGCATGGGACTTTAGCACCAAGTAAGCAGAAAAGTGAGGACTGGGGAGACTTCATGGGGAGATCCTTTCTGTAGTCTCCAATTGCAAATAAGCACTTCAGGTCAAACGGTCCTGGACAGGTAATGAGTAGCTACGAGGGGGAAGAGGGGTGGCTGGGATGAATTCATCCTCAGTCTTCTCTCAGTGACCACCCTCCCTGTTGGCCAGTGTCTCAGTTTGCTCAGCTGCCACAACAAACTACCACAGACTGGGTGGCTTCAACAACAGACATTTATTTCTCAGAGTTCTGGAAGCCAGAAATCCAAGATCAAGGTGCTGGCCAATTCAACTCCTGGTGAGAGCTCTTTTCCTGGCTTTAAACAGCCTCCTTCTTACCATGTCCTCACATGGCAGAGAGAGAGAGAGAGAGAGTACGCGCTCTGGTGTCTCTTCCTTTTCTTCCTAAGGACACCAGCCCTATTAAATTAGGGCCCACCTTATGACCTCATTTAACCTCTATCACCTCCTCACAGACGCTCTTTCCAAATACAGTCACATTTGGGGGTTAGAGCTTCAATGTATGAATTTGGTGGGCGGTGGGGTCACAAACACTCAGTCTGTAACAGCCATCATGCCTTAATTAGATTTTTAATGGTCCTAGAGAATCTATAACGAAAGCAGCTCTAAACCTCATTAAGAAAATAAAAGAAATGTGCTTTAGTAACTTCCTAGAATAGTCAAGAAGTGATGTGAACATTCATTAATATTATAGTTTGCTGAGAATTTTGTTGCTATTTAGATAACCATCCACAAATGCAAACAGTTTGGTTTTTTTTCTATTCAATCTTGTCTCTGAATAATCAGCTTGCCTGGTCTAGAATTTTATTCATTTATATAGCACCAACTATGGTACTTCATTGATTTTTAAGATACATATTTTAACATGTCAGGATGTGTCACAATTGATAGCATCTTACCATTATAATGGGCATTGCTTTTCCTTCTTTGAAATACACAAAACAGCAGTATATTTCACAATTGACAGCATCTTAGATTTGATAAAATATGGTAGGTTGCAGGCACTCTTCTAAACTTTCTACGAATATTCTATGTAATCTTTTAAAATGCTACAGTACAGGCACTATTTTTATTCCTATTTTACATTTAATAAAATGTCCAGAAATTGATTTGCCCAAGTTAACACAACTAGAAAATAGCAAGAGAAGAGATTCAAACCCAGGCAGTGTCTATGCTCTCACAGCA